GGGGTTTTTTCCCACTTAAACCAGGATTACAAGCATATTTACATCTTTCATGAGGTGTCTGCGCTTACAGTCTCAATGGTCTGAGCTCTTGCCTAAGTTGCTTAGTATAAGAACTGAATTTTTACAATGACCAGACCATGTTGGCATAATGGAGAAAAGTTTCAGAAGTATCCAAAGCTCTACAGGCTATTCTGCCTCTGTACGATGTCTTACTCATCAAATGGCCTTGAAGCTCCCTAGTCTTTGAATATTGAAGAACAGGTACCTGCCAAAGGGTATCTGGGATTATCTTTGACTGCCACCTGCAATAAACCCCGATGTACATATTAGTGAGACGCCTTACAGCTTTAGTGTTAGTCTTTTTTATAGGTGATGGAGGAACTGTTGATAAAAGAGCAACCTTTTGTGTTATTGGAGGTGGCCTCAGTCAAATCATTTACCCTAGATCTCTGATTTCCTCACTAAAAAGTAGAAGCAGAGTTTGCTCTTTTCCTCTATTCCTATATACTCGAGAGTCTGCGTGATTATTGGTGTGATCTTCTGAGTATAGCTACTTCTAGATATTACTACTAAGTCTTTATATGAGCAGAATGTGTTTTGCTTTAACATAATGTACAGTAATATTTGGGGCTGATTTTATATAGCTTAAAACCTTTTATGATGATTAAGCACTATTTTAAGCCTTCCATGAAGGACTCTTCTCTTGAGGGCTTTAGAAGGAGCAATGAATTTGAACAAGACAGTAAAATTCTCTCCCCAAACACATTTCTGCTTTGAAATAAACTGAAAAAGTAACAAAACCTCCTCTGCATGCCTTCTTACCCATTGGAATCCCTGTGCTTCTGGTAGATGTGTACTTCTTGTCAAAAAGAGAATTACTCCTGATTATTTTTGTTGCTATTTCTAAACTATAAAAGCTTCAGAGCTGTCTTAATCCTATTGTGTATGTTTCTTACGGGATTCTTTTTCTAAGCACTAATCAGTTGCCCCTCTAAAAGTCTTGCAAGTAGACTTAAATTGTAATTATAAGATTTTGTTTCATTTGCACAGCTATGACTGGTGATTGTAATGAGGCTGTTTGGGAAAAGAAAAAAAACCAACCAATTTTAAAGAGAGCCTATTTGGATAAGTAGATCACTGTGTCTTTGTGGGTTGCTTCTGTTAGTGAGGCAATGCAAAGATGCATACTTTATGGAGCTTGACACGTATGTGCAGTCAATGATAATGTCCTGCAAATGCTTTTTCTCTGTGCTTCTTTCAGGCAGTTCTTAAAATATTATAAAAGAAATCTATGAAATAAGCAGCAGAATTCGGTTTGCCGCCTAAACATCGGTGGCTGAGCTCTCACTTGTCAGTGCAGAGCTATTGACACAGTCAGTGGAACAGAGGAAGATTTATCTGAGCAGCTGTGAGATGAGTGCTTGAGGGTGGGCTGCGTTAGGGTGGGCTGCAGACTCTCTATGCTCTATTCACTACAGATTTCTTCCTCCCAGACCTTTGGGGAAGAAATAACCTTCTACGTTTACTGTGTATTTTGCAAACAGAGGATATTATGCCCAATATACACAGGCTGATAAGCATGATGTTCTCAACCATTTGGGAGTTCCTCTCCATATGGAACCCCTTTCCAATGGTCTTACCAGTGGTATTTGGGCACATGGGTCCTTTTGTGCTCTGAGCTCATTGTTAGCATGGCCTGCAAATCTGAGCTAGAGTTGCTTTCACAGACGGTAAATGAGAAAACATGGATGATTGTGATGCTGGTAAAATCCCTATCCTTGCTTCTAGGTTTGTGTTTTCAAAGCACTATTGTGCTCTGAGTGCTTCTGTATGAATTGCAGGCTGCCTTTTACCCAGCCTTCCTGTTACCATTTAAGATGGTAACTGGATGGTAACCTGCCAATTCATGAGTGATGAAGGGTTCCTAGCAGTGCGCCTGTGTTCATTGCACAGAGCAGTTATTCTCTTATCCCTTTCGATGCTCTGGACTTTGGCTTGGGACGGGCTGCGTGAAGAGCTTGGCTCCTTGGAAAAAAAGGAGTTGAGGCAGAAGAAAGTTGCTTCACCTCTGAGAGGTACTTGTCTAGTCATCTCTGGCGTCTGGCTCTGAGGCAGGCAAGGACCCTGAATTGCTGCAGTCCTAAATCACTGTTTGCTAGAGCAGCACAAACATTGCCATTAGTTCTCAACTGGGTTGTAGCAAAGCGTATGTGTGAACCACTCCATAAAATGAAGTGGTCTCTCTAAGCCTCAGTTAAAAAGACATCTCAAGATGAGACTGTTGCAGGAAGGAGGCTTTGGGATAGGACTTCAGATAGGATTTGAAGTTGTACCTCTGGTGTCTTGAGGTAACATTAGTGTTGAGCTATAAAGCAATCACAAATGGATCCTTGCCAAACTGTTCTACCTCGTCAAGATAGAAGATGGGTGACAGGCCACTTGTCTTCTCTGTCTGCTTGCTTCTGATTTAAAACAAGAAAAACCTACAAAACAATAAAAGAACAAACTCAACCCCCAAAACTCTCTCCTGCAAACCCACACAAAACCAACACACCAAAAAGAAAAAAAAACCCAACCAACAGCACAAAACCCCACTCCACCAAGCAAAGGGTGTATTACATCAGGAAAAGATTTCAAGAACGCATATTGCTTGGCCCAGCCTTGCATCATGATGACAAGAGGAGAACTGCCATTTTGGCAAAATACAATCAGATAGAGGAATGTCTTGGATATGACTCCTCCGTACCCTCCGTGAGCTCTCAATACAGTTCATAGTAGTGTTCTGGGAATTTAGACACAATTCTTTTCTAAACTTCACTGAATTTAAACTGACCCTATGATTAGTTTTACTCCTTTCAGAAGTAGTTTTGCCACATGCTAATTGATTTCCCACAGCTCCAAAAGCAATGCAACTTTCAGCAGATGTATTCCCTGGATGCTATTGTTCTTTTTATCTCTATTGATGTTGTGACCTTGAAGTTCCAGGAAGGTGGGAGGGCATGCTGATGAACCCTGCTGACCGCTAGAGACTCCAGTGAAGGAGAGGACATAAGGGAGAAGGGGTTCTGGTTTGGGCTTGTGTCCAATTATTACAATATATTTTTAGACTATTTTGTACTAAGGAATTAAACACTTAATGCTGTATAAAGGTTAGAGACAGACCCACCCATTCTTGGAAGTATGTACAGCTTGTCCTGAGTGACATCAGTGAGGGATCTGTCTTGTGTGTATATGCAATTCTGTGATTTATTACAGTATAATTTTGTGCCAAAGGTTATTAAAAAATGTCTTAGGTTGTTTCAGAAAACTGTTGTTTATACTGGGCTTTTTCTCTTTACTGAATTTGTCTAGACCCAGTAAGTGCATTTAAAGAAATATTTGCAATATGGGGTACAGATCTAGTATCTAAGCTTTTCAACTATTTGCCTTGATTGCTTTTCTTTGCTGTATGAGTCTTTGGAAAGATACAACTACCCCATGTCAAACAATTTTTGCTTCTATTAAATGCATATTTTAGCTACCACAACAGTATTATGAGTGTTATCACTTTAAAAAATGATATGTAAAAGCTATTTTTTTCTATTAGTTATATTTTTAAAACTTATTCAATTATTTAAAAAAAATCAATAAAAACGGAAGTTAGTTTTGACACTTGTGATTTTTGTCACTCTTTAAATTGGGTATGACCCTAAATATAGAATGCCATCCGTGTGTGCCATGTGCAAATGCTAAAATGAGATCTCATCAATAAAGTGGATTTTCTGTGAAGCATGTATGAGCAATGATATTAAATAATATACAATTTTTATATGTTTATAAAAATTACTTGCACCTCTTTTTAATAATTAAGCATATGGTTCGCTATCAATTATTTTTAACAAACTGGTAAAGTGCAGAGCTATTAGGCCACAGCACTGATTTAATTATTGGAATAGAGTCCAAGACTTAAAAGTCACCAATACTCTCCAGAATAAATTGTCAACTCCAGAGTCCTTCAGTTTGCTTTTTTCAAGTGTCCATTTTTCTTAGAGGCTGGTGAGTGTGAACTTTTATGTTATGTAGTTTGCACCATGAGCAGTGCAGTAGCAAAAGAAAAACAAAAAAATAAATATAAGAATATAAAGTGGGAGTGGAGATGAACTTATCTCTGAAATGGTCAGATATAGATCTAATTTTATAGCTGTATTACACCCTCTGTGTTTGTAACCCATCATGATTGATACACAAAGGGTGGGAATAGTTCTGCTGATCAATATGTGCGTGATGCATATCATAAATGCAGCAGGACACCATGTCTGGTTCCTGAGCCTGTACTTTAAGGAGAATACAGGAATACTGGAGACAATTTCTAGGAGGGCCACCAAAACTGTGCAAGATGAGAAAACAGTTCTTACAACAATGCTTAATGATATTTTTATGTTTTTAATGAAGGAGAAGATTGAATGGTGATGATTGGGTGTGTATGTACACATAGATGTTGCTGCAAGGTGTTAATTATTATAGCCAATAATAAACACTGTAGTTGGAAGTCAAACATTTAACACAGGCTGTCAGGCATTTTGAAGCAAAGAGCAGTTAAAGCATTTCACAGATGCATTTTTAAAAGATACTTTACTGTAGCTTCTGCCTTGTCTCTGTGATGGTCTTGCCTGAGCAATTGTATTAGTTCCTTGCGGTCTTAAAGCTCTGACAACCTGTTAAGGCTACAGCGTTTGTTAAGCGGTCTCTACAGCTAAGATGTTGTGGTAGCTTTAATGAAAGTCCATTCTTTGTCCCAGAGGCTAGCACACCATGCTAATAGGGATGAAGCTATTCTGGTTGGGTCATTCTTGGCTCATGCCTCCCCTGTGGCTTTGACTTCATATGAGGAAATTTCTCTTGTCCTACTATAAGCTACTTTATATTGTGTACTTGTTATAATTACGTACAGAAAAGGAAACTGAAAGTTGGATTTAAAAGAGTAAATTTGAAATTTAATTTATTCTGTTCTCTCTCCTCAGGTGGAAAGACATGACATGAATACTCTGAGTTTACCGCTTAGCATTCGCCGTGGAGGCTCTGACACCAACCTGAACTTTGACGTACCAGATGGGGTCCTAGAGTTTCACAAAGTCAAACTCAGTGCAGATAGCTTGAAACAGAAAATCCTCAAGGTTACAGAACAAATCAAAGTTGAACAAACAGCTCGAGATGGAAACGTGGCTGAATATTTGAAACTGGTAAACAGTGCAGACAAGCAACAGGCTGGGCGCATTAAACAAGTCTTTGAGAAGAAGAACCAGAAATCTGCCCACTCCATTGCCCAGCTGCAGAAGAAATTGGAACAGTACCACAAAAAGCTCAAGGATATTGAACAAAATGGCTCTTCCAAAAGCACTAAGGATACTTCCAAAGATAACTTGAAAGACATTCAGCATGGAAAGTCTCGTACCTCTGGGCATGGAACAGAGAGCAGCAAGTCAGGGGTGCCGGGTGTGTCCTTGACACCGCCTGTCTTTGTTTTCAGCAAGTCTAGAGAGTTTGCAAACCTGATCCGAAACAAATTTGGTAGCGCAGACAACATTGCTCATCTCAAAAATACCATGGATGAATTTCGGCCAGAATCGAGTTCTAGAACATACGGGGGCAGTGCCACCATTGTTGCCAAACCAAAATACGTTAGTGATGATGAGTGCTCCAGCGGGACCTCTGGCTCAGCAGATAGCAATGGCAATACTTCCTTTGGTCCTGCTGTGGCAGGTACTCTGGACAGCCAAGGAAAACTTTCCATGATTTTGGAAGAACTAAGGGAAATCAAGGAGACACAGTCCCAATTAGCTGATGACATTGAGAATTTAAAAGCACAATTTAAAAAAGACTATGGCTTTATTTCTCAGATGTTACAAGAGGAAAGATATAGGTATTGGTTTTTTTAACTGTTCTCTTGAAATGACTTTTGAATGGGTATAGAAAGTATTTGGAAAGCGTAAACGTGAGTGTGTGCTTGTGCGTGTGATATTTCAGAAGCAAGAGGAAAAAATAATTCCAATCAATATCTGTTATTAAAATGTGCTACTCATTCCGATAACTGAAAATACATGTAGAACACTACGATTTCGTATCAAATGATGTGGTAGCTCTTTGCCTTTTGTTGAAGGCTTGTCAGAAAATTCCCGCTGCTACACATCTTACTGGCATGTTGTATTATGTGAATACTGCCAATAGGAGATGCCAATTGTTTTGTAACTGGTGGAAGAATTCTGATCTATTGTGACTTGAAAATGCTGATCAGTCTATGGTGTAGCAGAGCTGACATACAGCTGATAAATACACCCTTTAGTCCTGAGTACCTTGTCCAAATACTTCTCAGACACATTGCTATCTCATGGATGCAATGACACTTTGTACCCTGGTGTAACACACTGCTGTGAAATGTAATTTTATGTGCTGTAGTACAACTTCCTCTTGCATTTGTTACTTGGCAATTAATCCCTTTATCATCCACTGTGGGCAGTGAGATGTGTTCTACAGAGGGCTTGCACCTGCTGTACCTATATCCCATTTGTCATATTGCTTGTTAAAGTGCTGATTCTTGAAGTCTTTACTACACTAATGGGCAAATACTCAGTATGAATTGCAATATTTAATGTTTCCCTTGTTTACGCTTCTTGAAATACAAGGGGAGGCTGAATATAAGCTGGTAACACGGGGGAGGAAAGAACAGAGCAAATGGCCTACTGTGCTCAGGACTCGCTTTCAGGAGAAGGCAGAGCAGCCTTTCCTGACCGCTAACTGCCATTAAGATCTCAAACCTCCTGCCACCATTTCCAGAGTTGGGTAATTTTGCTTCCATCATTTTTGTGCCAAGGGCAGTGTTTGCCTGTTTGTGTGTCAAACCAAGTAACAAGCTCACCAAAAAAAATATTATTTCCCTGGTGGTTTAATTGAAATGGTTTACTGTGCACAGCCATGCCAGAGCAGGCTGTATATGAATGGCAGGACCTTGCAGTTCTGTTGGAAAGGGGATCCAGGGAACATATTTTTCCTTTCACTATTGGCGAGCCGTTAACTGGCTCAGGCTTACTTACGAAACCATATCTTCTTGTCTAAATGAAAAGTGAGAAATGGAAAAATGTGAGTTGGATACCCTTAGCCACTGTTTATAGTTCATATAATTTGCCAATGATGTATAAATATTTGCTTTTTAACACCCACTGCCAGCAAGGGAACACTCAAAAAGGCTTTCAGTTTGCTGAATAAATGCTTATGGAGGGTTTCTAAAGTTTTTACTGATCTCTTTATGTGCTCTGTAATGCCAGTCAGAGGAATCCATAGTACACCTTTTAAACTATGTAATTGTTTTCATGATCTAGCATTACTTGAATAGAATGCACTAAATTTAGACCTTTTTTCCCGATAAGATATGAAAGATTGGAAGACCAGTTAAATGACCTCACTGATCTTCATCAACATGAGACAGCAAACTTGAAACAAGAGCTGGCCAGCATAGAGGAGAAAGTGGCGTATCAAGCATACGAGCGATCACGAGATGTTCAGGTACTTTTTTTTTTTCTTTCTTATAAACTTCTAATGCTTTGTAGAAATCTCATACTGTGCAATAGTTGCGTCTTTGTACAGCTTTTTATATAAGGAATCTGGGGAAAGATTTAAGCCCGTGTTTTGTCTGTTTTAAGATGAAAACCCGGCACTTCTGAATCATATTTGTTTCAAGGGATTCAAAATTTTTATGTGCTGGAATTGATGATATAGCCCAGGCAGGCTTGTGGATCAAGAATGGCCTGGTTTAATTTCTTGCACCAGAGGAGACAGGGATTTAGTCTCCTTGTATGCTGTAAAATGCCACTTTTGACAATGTCCTAACATAAACCTCTTGCTTAGACTTTCAACAATATGTAGACATGTCACTGGCAATGTTTATTATAAATTGAGTTTAAGGTAAAAAGTTAGAGAGCTAATTGTTAAATAAACTTGTAGATTTGCCAATTATAATTTAGCAATTTTAATCCATGGTTACAGTCACCCCTATAATTAAAGCTGTAGGGTGTGTTCACCTCAGTGATCAGTTGTAGTCGTGTCTGGCTTCAATCAAAAGCCAGTAATAATTTCTACAAGTCCATCCTGACAGCATGTAGTTACATACTTGAATAGTTATATGCAATATAATATAATTTTATTAATGCATACTATTTGTACCCAAAGTCTAAGCATTTCTGAACACAGAGAGCACAGGCAGCAGCATGATCACCCTGTGCCCTGGTGGATGTGAGATTCAGGAACGCCCTGGGAACAGAGTGGGGAAGGGATAGTGCTGAATCTAAGCATAGCATAAGTTGCTGTGTAGGTTTAAAGAAGAGAGGTGTCTTATGCAGGACTCCTTTCTGTGAAAGCATCTTGAGGGTGTAAAAACGGAATGAGACCCGAGTTCTCCAGCAGAAGGGCTGTGAAATGTTCACTGACTCATTAGCAGAACCCTGGAGGGGTGTCAGAGACTTTTAAAACTAATTGAAGTGCTATGTTGCTACAGCCTTGTTTCTTCTCTGTCTGTACATTCGGGCCTGTTTAAACCTGTCTGCTAGGGGGTTTGACAAATAAGCTAAAATCCAGTAAAAGCCTTTAAGTTGTGGATATTTTAACTAATAACCTACCTTCAGAGCACTCTGTCCTCAGGGGATGGGCAGAGTGTTTTTAAAACACTTGCTCAGCCTCTCAATGCAGAACTGCCGGTATCAGACTTCTGCAGCTGGACTTTCTCCAAAGCAGCACAAGATGATTTGAAAATCATTTACGATCAGAGTGGAAGAAAGACCAGGAAGGTTCTTTAGTGTGTAGTGGAGAGCATGCATGTACCCTAAGGGACTTTGTGCCACCGTTAAGAACCGTCTTCTATATTGTTGCTAATTCCTAGAACAGTGAGAGGAAGCAGCCTTTTGTCAGGTCCTGTCCCATGTGCTTTGTGTGGACTTGGGTGCCTGGCTGGCCACATGGTGAGCCAGTTCAGCTTGCCAAAACAAGGGAGGAGTGAGCCAGCCAAAGAAAGCTAATAACTCCCTGTGCACTGGTCTTGTTTGTTTGTTTTTATGTGGAGGATTGAGTTGAATCATCGTACTGTGGGATCAGGTGAACACCCCTGCCAGTGCAAGGAAAATGTTTGGAGTTTGAGAGTGGGGAAGAAAGTCAGGAAGCTGGAGCATAATTTTCCCTTTTTACACAGTGGTAAAACATTATGTCAAGTTGATCGATCTCATTAGTTACAGCCTTGCGCTATGTTACATTGTGGTGCCCAAGTCCCAGCTCCAGCAAAAAATGGCATTTTGGCAAGTAAGTGAAGCAGTAGGAATTTTTCCCATGTTTCACTTTGAGAGGCCTCAAGTATAGGGTTAGTGACTTGGGAACCATTTTACTCGAAGACCATTTTTAGTCCACCCTCAAGCAGAAGTGCAAGGTCTGCTTTCTGTAGAACAAAACATGAAGTGGAATATATCACATGAGAGAGAGAATCCCATAAAAGCATCACCACAGATTTCTCCAGTGCGTGCTGCCCGCTTGGGGTATGGGTTAATAAGCCCTCATTAATTCATTCACACTGACAGGGGGAGAAGGCAACCTCTTACTGGGGACTCAATCTCAGCACTGTAGTGGCTTTGAGTAAAAAAGGTAATGTAGGCCGGAGAGATGGTGTAAACCAAATGCTCCGTGTTCCAAAGTAGATTTAATTATTATGGCAGCAAGCCTGCACTACTCCAATGTTTTCTACCGTGTATACAAAGAAACTTACTTTGATGCTGTTTCAATGCTGTGGAAGTTGCCATGACAACGGCTTCCCAGTTCTTTATCTCATCAGTATATGCAGGAAACATTATCTGTCATGACCATTAGAGTTGTTATACTTTTTTCTCAAGCATGAAAAATGTGACAACACTGTCCAAAATGTAGTTTTTAGAGTTGATAATGCCTGAGCAAACAGTGATACACACATGCAGGTGTATCTGTGCATTTGTGAGTTGGTGGGTCATTCAAGTTTTAGGAGTCTATAACACATTACAGTTCTATCTAGCTGATGGATGGCTCTACAGCTAAAATGGCAAAAGTGGTGTATGGAAATAGAATTGCCCTAATTCTTGCTTTCTGTCTCCAGGAAGCCTTGGAATCATGCCAGACCCGGGTTTCAAAGCTGGAGCTTCATCAGCAAGAACAGCAAGCGCAGCAGTCCGAAACGGTTAATGCCAAAGTGCTCCTGGGGAAATGTATAAATGTTATCCTGGCCTTCATGACTGTCATCTTGGTGTGTGTCTCTACTATTGCAAAGTTCATTGCTCCTATGATGAAGAGCCGTTTTCATATCATCTGCACTTTTTTCGCAGTGACACTGCTGGCAATATTTTGTAAAAACTGGGATCATATCATTTGTGCCATAGAAAGGATGATTATACCAAGATGAAGCTGCTGGTCTGCCTGCTTTCTTTTTCCTTTTTTTTTTTTTTCTTTACCTCCCTGTTTTTTAAGTGCTGTATGTACAGATTATGTTTTGTCAGTTTAAATGTGCGGACTGGCTGGAGAAGGCTACAAAGACCCTTGGACTTTAAGGTGTAAATACGTAAATGCGTATTTGTTGGCAGTCACTTGCCTGTTCGAGCCGATTGTGTCTAATTGGCAGTGATGAACTGCTCGCTTATGTCGGTCTTCTGCCTTAATCCAACAGGTTTTCCACTCTACAGACCCACACCCACAAAAGGGGGTATGATGCTCTGGGAGGGATCCAAGCAACTGTGTGTCGGGTGTGCTTTTTTCTATGAGACTGGAGTGCAAAAAGTGTGATTGGGAGGGAACCTCCCTGTTTTTTAAGTGCTGTATGTACAGATTATGTTTTGTCAGTTTAAATGTGCGGACTGGCTGGAGAAGGCTACAAAGACCCTTGGACTTTAAGGTGTAAATACGTAAATGCGTATTTGTTGGCAGTCACTTGCCTGTTCGAGCCGATTGTGTCTAATTGGCAGTGATGAACTGCTCGCTTATGTCGGTCTTCTGCCTTAATCCAACAGGTTTTCCACTCTACAGACCCACACCCACAAAAGGGGGTATGATGCTCTGGGAGGGATCCAAGCAACTGTGTGTCGGGTGTGCTTTTTTCTATGAGACTGGAGTGCAAAAAGTGTGATTGGGAGGGAGTGCACCATAATGTGTATCAGCCCTGTTAGACTAATAAATTAATTTTCTCTCTGAATCTAACTAGAATGATAAGCCAAATTATACGGTCATATGTATTAATAGTTCTTGATTCTAAATTAATGGATATCTGTATATGGGGTTTCTGTATAGTTTTCAGGACCAGCAAAACGTGATTCATCTCCTAGTAACCTTTTACACAGAGGGTTTATTGTTTGTAAATTAGACCAGTGATGACTGTTGACCACAGTTAGTGGTTGTTCTGTCCTGGCACTGTTCCTTATCACGCTTGGGAAACACACAAATGTGGCCTAAGGCTTCCAAAGCTGAACTGAACTGAATGACAAGATCTCAGTGCCACTTTGTAAAGGAGTAAAGAAGCAAGTAACTGGTGGGTAAGCTGTCACGCAGACCAAAGCACTCCCTTCCCTCAAGCCCTGCAACCTGCAAGGGGAAAGGAGTACACAGCAAGGCAACATTTAGGTTAGCCTTTGTGAGCACTGAATTGTTGGGGTGCTCTAACTGAACGCAGAGCAGAGAGGTGCTGGGACCCTGGGTATAGTGGATTTCTTTCTTCTGTCAGATTAAGCAATGTGGAAAAAACATGAGGGAACAGCTTTGGGGAGCAGGGAGTTAAACTACTGTAAATATACAACCACTGTGCAGACTCTCTTGACAAACATTCCTGAAAATAATGTATTAGCATACAGTACCACTACTAGGAAACAGGGTTGGGTTTGTTTTCTCACTGGAATTTATTTTGCTTGATTTAAGAACTGCAAAAAAGTTTCCCTGAAATTTGCTTGGCTTTCAGCCATGATGTAAAACAAGACCTTTAATAAAAACAAAACAAAACAAAAAACAAACCAAACCACCACAACCAGAATTCTTCTCTGCTCTCTGTTAAATGAAAAGACAGTGTCTCCACTTATTTGATGTTCAGTATTACTTACTTTGACAATAATTTTCACAACAGATTTTCTTTTCGGTTGCCGTATTTGCTATGCTGGTTTTATGGGGTAGGGGGCGGGGAGGGGATTACTGGATGTATTTGGTTTCAATCAAGTGCAATAGTTGGTGTAGAAATTCAGAAAACTTTATTCTGAGGAAAGGGAGGGGGCACAAGGGGGCAGGGGAAGAACTTTGACATTTTACCATAATTGGATGAACAATGAATACAGTTACTTTTTGTGGCTTCAGGGACTGAAGGAAAGACAAAATTAATCGCATAAATAATGATATGACTCAGCATTTAGAAAATTCAATTAAAACACTCTAAAAGTCATTAAAGAATTCTTTATGTGTGCTACACCTTCGAACAGAGAAATCAGGAAGGATTGTGCCGGCTCACAGGCACCGGAAATGGGTCAGATCAGGCACACACATGTTATCCTAACCCAGCCCTGCCTCATCTTCAGAGGAAAGGTGGAGTGGAAAGAAAAAGTCCTGATGAGAGGGATATGACTTTATGAAGCCCAGACTTTATCTCTGGCTGTGTCAGGAAGAATTATTAGATAGATATGTTCTTCTTTTCCTTATTTTTTTTTTTTTCTCGTTGCCTTTGCCCCTGTATTCCTGGTATCCCCTGAAGAAGGAAAGAGATATTATGTATTTAACTTTTCTGTTTTAATTGCTGCATGTGCTGCTGTTCGGTTCAGGGAGACCTTTCTTCTCATGCCTCTTAACACATTTTGGCACTGTACGAGTGCATTGCAACAGGCCTTCACCCCACCTTCCCAGTACCTAGCCTCCTTTTACAGCCGGCTCATAAACTGAGGGCATTGCTTCCACTGATGCAGCTCATAAACTTATCTTCACAGGAAAGTCCCTTTAAAAAGATTAAAAGGAAAAAAGAACTAGCTCTTTCCTGGCCTTTACATCACAAGAAAGGGTTTCCCTTGGTTTATTTTTATGCTCTTTTGATGTGTCCTGAGATCCCCTTGGTCTTTTCCACTGTTTTCATATAATCTGTTCTTATCTTCATTTTTGAAAAGGCGTATGTCTTTTTATAGTCCGTACTTTCCATTCCTGTAGCCAATGAGCGTGCTTCTGTTCAGAGTCCTTTCCTTTCTGAAGTCTTTTTCTAAATTCCGCCACTCTTTTTAATAATCAACCATATGACTTCCCACCCCATTTCCACAACATTATAACTCCAGTACAAAAAACCACAAGGGTCCTGGTACTGATCCTCAGAAAGCTGTGACTCTTTGTGGTGTTTTCTTGCCACCTTTATTATAACCTCTACTCTTCTACTCCATTTGCACAGCCACCTTCTGGTTTGGCCACTTGAGAAAACACTGTTTGTCTGGCATTTTGTTCAATGGGTTCAGAGGGGTACACGTGCAGAAAGAAATATCACATTAGTAATTTTTACATAGTAAAAACTCCTTTGCCTGCTGCATGGTTATGTGTTTAAAGAGCTAATCCTCCCAGTGCTAGTGCATGTAGTTGAAAACGTGATGTCAGGTAGGCTCAAGGTCAGGCAGGAGAAAGATCAGTTGTTTTTCTTAGAACAAAGGCAGTTGGTATGGTACAACCTGGGGACGTGAGGACTTCTGCTCCACGGGCACCCTCTTACAGACCTGGAAGGCAACCTCAGTGCAAAATGAGGGTAGAACATAAAATCAATGGGGCTGTGAAAGATTGCTCGCTGTCTTGATAAAATCTGACTGGGTCCAAATTGATGCAAGAAGAGTCTTGCGTTCCCTTGTTGCAGAGGACACAAAAAGCTGTAAAGGCTGCATAATGTTACTCATGCAAATTAAAACAACCCTAATTGGTAAACGGGCACGGCGCTTCTCTAGGTTATTTTCCCTGCTGGATTTAAATCACTGAAGGATGGGAAACGCATCAAGACATTAAAAAAAGATGTGAAGGGCAAAAGCCTGCGTTTTGGTAAAACTGCCATCGTTTTGCCCAGAGTTAAGGCTGTGGTGCTAGGAGCTCTGCCAAGTAGGCGGCCAGCCAAAGGAGAAGGAAGTGTCCCCTCCTGCTTTCACCCTCCCGTTTCTCACCCTGTGGTGACACTGGTGTGTGATGCAGTTTACCTTATGCCAGGTGAGCTCATTAGGCTGGAAGAAAAACCAGTGAAAGAGGTGGACAGTTCTCCACGTCTAGAGATTCAGAGGGTTGATGGAGAGGTCTTGAGAGTGTGAAGCAGGGACAAAAAGGGAGATAAACCTTTTTCTTCCTTGCTTGCAGTGACTCCTTAGCTGCCCCTAAAACTGTGCTCTGGGCAGCCTCCCTGCAGAACGAGGGGGCAGCTTCAGTGGAGGAAGGTTCTTCCTAGCTCTTGCCGACAGGCAACAGACAAGAACAGCAGCAGGGTGTGACAGCCCAGGCTGGTGCCTGTGCCACTAACTTTGGTGTCGGCATCACTTCCACCACTTGGGCTGGGATTATGGGAGTGGACGTATCTGACCTGCAGTCAGAGCTCTCCTTGCTGTGAAAGTATACCTAGGCCATCCCAAATGGCTGTGAGACCTCTCTTAATTCTCTTAATTAGAACGTTGTTCAGCTTCTCAGTCAATTAACCACGTTCTGTCAGGATACCGTTTGCTTTCATGTTCTCATACGACACACTAGACGTTCGTAGTGTGTGCTTGTACACTCCCACTCAACAAAAAGTTGCCAGACAGTGTCTTTTCTGCTTGGCGCTGCCTGGTAGTCAGTTATTCCACTTCCCTTTGACGGTAGTTCTCCAACTGAAAATCCCTTCAGTTAGCTTGTTAATGCCTGTTCTATAGGCTTTTGGCAGCTTTTTTGCTCAGAGGTTGCTGGAGATTTACTTTCTCGTGAAGGTTAGCACAATTTTCCTGATCTCTCCCATTTCAGCATTCAGTCTAAATTAGGTTTCCTCTAAAACTTGTAAAATGCATCCTTCTACTAGCTTCAGCTGTAGAAGTCCGTTACTGTTGAACACCCAATTAAGTAATTGACAGCATGGACTGAGATGCAGTTTCAACTCTTTCTGCTTTACGTTACACATGGTCATGCAGCTTCTCATTTTGCTTTGCTCTTGTGATGTCTTGTTCTGAATTCTCAGAGAAGCACTATCCAATCTGATGGCTTTTTACTTTAATATCAAAATGCTTGTATTCTGCAGTGCCTCTGCTGCAGGACCACCACGTATAGACCTGTTGTCTGCCCTACGTGAAGGATATTTAAAAGCCAATGGTTTTCTTCGAACAAATCGTGACAGCTTATCTGGGGAATAGAAATTCAACAGGGGAAGGTCATTTGCTGTAGGAAAGATACGTGATCCACTCACTGGAAGCTGAAGCTGGACAAATCCAGCCTAACACAAGCTTCAGTTTTGTAATCATAAGGGTTAAGCTATTGAGTAGCTACTGAATAACATAAAGGAGGACTGACTCCAGTGTTAAAGCTGAATGCTGCTGTTCACAGAGGAATCAGCTCAGGCTTACGTCTGATACAAAGCCAACTGCACAATCACAGGTACTGCTTTCTGGAGTTAAAATCAAGGAACAGGAAATTATTTGGAAAAAACCCCCAAACCAACCCACAGAAGCTTGTGGTTCATGTAGGTGGTATGGAAACCAGATTTGGAAACCAGGGCCCTTTCCACTGTGATATAGACATTTAACGTCCTGATTCAATGGTACAACAGAAGGTAAATGCAGATTAATGTAATTAAAGACTTCAATTTGGATAACAGAATTTAATCACTTCTGAAAGTCCATCTAGGAATAGCAATCAGGCAAGTTTATTCTCCTTTTTTTTAATCAAGCAAATATTTAACTGCTTTTTTCATTTACCATCATGCCAGAGCATGGCCTTTAATTAATTATATTGCTCTTCTGTAAAGCACAAGAGATTATCAAAGGCTTCAGTTCAGATAAAGTTTGAAAGGCCTCTCTGATGCTGAGTAGAATTCAATAGAAAGAATCAGACAATTTAACATCACAGCTACGAAAGACTAAAAAAAGTTATTTTTTATAAAAAACCTAAATTTTTTAGTTAATGGAATTACTTAATTTCCCTGAAAAAGCAAACTGAGATGATGCTGTATATAAAGACTGCATGAGGACTAATTACACTATCTTGTACGGTTGATTTGCTGTGTGTTTAGCATATTAAGTTGTACTGTTGTTGGAAAGTTTTGCACAAAGCCACCTTTCTTTTTTACCCCGGGGACCTGGGTCTGGTAGTATCAAGGTGTACCAAAAATTGTCTGCTTTTATTGACTAAAGTTAATTGTCTCAGTGTGTGATCTACCACGTTTCTCACGCCACTATCATTTCGTGCAGCTCTGTGGAAAGATGCAACTACAAAATGTAATTTTTGTATATTTTGTTGTGTAGTCATGACTGCCTCTAAGGTGCCATTAACATTTTTTAAAATAAAAATATTTACATTTAATTGATAATGGATGTTGTTTCTTAAACTTGCTGCCTGATCACTCAAACCCCTATTGGTTTTTCTTTGTCGGTAACAAAGTTATTCAATTGATACGGATAAAGTTATTCAATTGAATATAAGCCCCAGCCTTAAAATACTGATAAAACTGAGCATTCTGCTCTGCTGCAGTTTTGACCAAAAGTGGTGATTTGAATTTTATTTACAGCTATAACAGGGCAAAACTGCAAACATCAAGTGAGATGTCATCATTGCTCTTCTCCAGAGCTTGTGTGAACACGCTATGCAAACGTGATGCTATTGTGCCAAGCAGTTGGATTTGCTTTGGATTATTATTTTTTTTGGAAATCTGAACTAGAAACGTAAGCTGAATTTTCACAATATTGTCAGAAATCTTGGTTATGTGTGCCAAAAATGTAATACTGACATGCCTAATAGTTAACATAACTGACATAAAGGAAAACATTTGCATTTATTTTTCACAAAGTAAGAGGTCTTGTC